TTTCTATTTTTGGAAAGATTAAATTGTCCCAAATCCAGGATTCCCAATCATCCTTGAAAACCTGGAAACTTATGTAGAAAAGAGTTCCCTTGGAGCATAATTTTAATACGTCTTTAACAAATGTTTTGTTTTGTTCAGTGAACAGATTTAAAACTGAAAAAGCAGGAAATACTCACATCTGAGAAGCTGAAAACAGAGAATTTGTGTCAATTTTGTGTAAAAAAAAAAAAGTGACTTAAACAAAAAATTATTTATCAAATTATTTGCTGACATCTATTGAACTATTATATATTTATTTGATTTATGTTAAATCCCCCCTCTCCCGATCAATAAAGGTTTATCTGATATTATATTTATTTATATATATATTTATTTATTTATTTATATTAAATAAATGTATTTATTTATATATAAACAAAGTGCAGAACATATTACACTTTACATCATAGAGAGTGATGTTTTTTTATATATATAGAAATCCATCTATCTATCTATCTATCTGATTGGTAAATATAAAATTAGTCAATAAATACATTCAATATCACACAAATCATGAATGTGTGATATTGGGGCTTTTTTATGAACTAATGTTTAATTTCAATGATGTAACAATTTAGTATCAGTCCAGCAGAGGGCACCACCAACCAGACACATCATAATGTCTGTCAGTTACCGAGCTCATGTTATTAATTATATTAGCATTATTGTTATTGTTATTATTATTATTATTATTATTATTATTATTATTATATGTGTGTGTGTGTTACAGTGTGTGCTCAGGGAGGGTCTGGAGGAGATGAAGCAGTTCTTCTCAGTGAACAGCAGCTGCAGACTTCCTCTGAACCCGGCACTGCTTGTCACAGGAATCAACATCCAGGTACTGAAAGACACACACACACACAGAGCTAGTTTAAAGTCTAATGTGTTTCCTCGAATGTTCCCATGAACAACCAAATGCACCTGGAGGACAGTGTTTTATACAAAACTAAAGCTCCGTCTCATGTTGCTTTTATCCTTGTTTTTTTAGCCCTTGTTAGTGTAATGGCTCTATGGAGGCTAATGTCTGTCCGTCTGTCCGTCTGTCCGTCCACCACTTTGGTCCAGACTGAAACATCTCAACCACTGTTGGATGGATTGGGATTAATGTGGTTCATCATTCATGTTCATGAACTGCAATGACTTTGTTTGTCCTTTGACGTTTCATCAGGTCAACATGTTAACATCTCCAATAGCTTGTTAAATGACCACATATACCTGCAGTTTCCCTCTTTGTAAAACATATGAAACGATGACAACCCTCCATTCAACCTGAGGGTGGCGCTGTCTGACCTGGTGGGCTTGTCTGTATGTCCTCAGGTGTTCAACTAGGGACAAAAATCAGTATATGAATGTATAAGGAAAGCATCGATATTCCAGGAATATTAGGACCTCATAGATAAAACCTTTATTTTTTTTGTGGAAAATTCATGCTGCAATTTTTAGAGTCTAAAAAAGAATTATGGGAAATGTAGGTCTGAAGTTTAGACCTACATATCCCATAATTCTTTTTGGGGGCTGCAACACAAGCCCCGTTTTTTGTTTTTAGGTAAAATTCAGTCAAACGTTCTCCATTTAAAAAGTATGTTGAATAATATTAAATATTAATTAATATGAGCCGTTTGAAGTAAGTATGTGCATGTGCAGACAACTATCACTGGATTACTTTGACACTGAAGGAAAGTTAGAAACATGATGATTCTCAGGCAAGTTCTGCGGCATCTAAAATCTAAAGGGTTCGTCTTCTGGAGAGCAGGAATAAGATCAGGATACTTCATGATGATCTGACCAGCAGCTGTTGACATTTCTGTCTTTCTGAACCAAAACGTTTGACGGACAAATGACTGAATTAAATTATTTGAACCATAAATGTGGTTTTAAATCGGTGATCGTGTTCAGTTCTCCTCTTCTTCTGTCTTTTTATAGTCGTGTTCCTTCTTCAACTCCAACGCTGTTCCTCTCAAACTGTCCTTCCAAAACCTGGACTCTGTGGGAGACAACATCAACGTCATCTTCAAGGTGAGTCGGCTCTCCTGTTCTTACCTGTGGTTTTATGTCCTGAAACTGAATAGTTGTCGATGTCTAAAGAGATTAAAACAGTCTTAGCTCAGGTGGACAGCTGATGTCTCTGACTCTGTCCAGTCAGGAGACGACCTACGGCAGGATATGCTGACTCTGCAGGTGATCCGGATCATGAACAAGATCTGGATCGAGGAGGGTCTTGACATGAGGATGGTCATCTTCAAATGTTTCTCCACCGGCAGAGGACGAGGTACGGATGCACCAAGTGTGTGCAAGAAGGACAGGTGTATCATACAGGAGGACAGGTGTATCATACAGGAGGACAGGTGTATCATACAGGAGGACAGGTGTATCATACAGGAGGACAGGTGTATATCACGCAGGAGGACAGGTGTATATCACGCAGGAGGACAGGTGTATATCACGCAGGAGGACAGGTGTATATCACGCAGGAGGACAGGTGCATATCACGCAGGAGGACAGGTGCATATCACGCAGGAGGACAGGTGCATATCACGCAGGAGGACAGGTGTATATCACGCAGGAGGACAGGTGTACGTATATCACACAGGAGGACAGGTTTATTTATTGCTGTAGAACAGGTGTATATCAGAAGGACAGGTGTATATCAGGAGGACAGGTGTATATCGCACAGGAGGACAGGGTTTTTATTGCTGTAGAACAGGTGAATATCAGGAGGACAGGTGTGTTGTTTCCTGTTCTCAGCTATGATTGACAGGTGTGTTGTTCTCAGGTATGGTGGAGATGATTCCTCAGGCTGACACTCTGAGGAAGATCCAGGTGGAACATGGGGTCACCGGGTCCTTTAAAGACCGACCGCTGGCCGACTGGCTGCAGAAATACAACCCCACTGATGAGCAGTATGACAAGGTGCACACACACACACACACACACACACACACACACACACCTGTACACTCACTCATACACATTACAGATCAGTTCTTTCGCCCTGAGGCTCAAGTTTTAGTGTCTTTGCAGCTTTCGTACACCTATGAAGTTTAATTATTATTATATGGATTGCTAATCGATTAAATAATGATAAATAAAGTCTGACTTTGCGTTCAGGCGGTGGAGAACTTCATCTTCTCGTGTGCCGGCTGCTGCGTGGCGACCTATATCCTGGGAATCTGTGACCGCCACAACGACAACATCATGCTGAAGACCAGCGGCCACATGTTCCACATCGACTTCGGGAAGTTCCTGGGACACGCACAGATGTTCGGGAACATCAAACGGTGAGTCGTGATGTCATATTCATGACACGGTCACAGTAGACTGGATTACAGGTAGAGGAGTTTGTTTGTGAAATGCATCTTGGGAGTTGTAGTTCTCTCCTTTTAGTTTGGGTTTTATTTATCATTGTTGAGGTAAATGGGACAGTTCGTCATGATAAAGGTTTGAGATCTGTTGAAATACTTTTATCTCCGAGTTAATGACGGTCAATATGTTACGATCAATATTCATATTGATCTAAAAACAAAAAATATGTAATATACATGAACGGTATGTATTGTATGTATGTAAGACTACTACTCACATAGTAATAATAATACAGGTGATATTTCTGACATGGTGCAGGTGTGTTGTGATCTGTTTGTGATTGTTTACCTGTACGTGACTGTTTACCTGTGTGTGTGATTGTTTACCTGTGTGTGCGACTGTTTACCTGTACGTGACTGTTTACCTGTGTGTGTGTGATTGTTTACGTGTGTGTGTGTGTGATTGTTTACCTGTGTGTGTGTGTGTGTGTGTGTGTGTGTGTGTGTGTGTGTGTGTGTGTGTCATGTGACACAGGGACCGTGCCCCCTTCGTGTTCACCTCCGACATGGCGTACGTCATCAACGGAGGAGACAAACCGTCGAGCCGCTTCCACGACTTTGTGGATCTCTGCTGCGAGGCGTACAACCTGATCAGGAAACACGCACACCTGTTCCTCAACCTGCTGGGCCTGGTGGGTACCACACACACACACGAGGGGGGAGGGGTGGACAGAATAACAGAAACACCTCGAGAAATGGTAGAAAAAAGACGCTCCTGTAACTGCAGGACCTGATAATCACGTTGTCAACGTGTAATGCTGAAGTGTGTGTGTGTGTGTGTGTGTGTGTGTGTTTGTGTGCAGATGTTGTCCTGTGGGATCCCTGAACTGTCTGATCTGGATGATCTGAAGTACGTCTACGATGCGCTGAGACCTCACGAGTCTGAGGCCGACGCCACCATGTACTTCACCAGGTACACACACACGCGTATGATTGTGTATTACCTGTAGCCCTGCCCTACACAGCCTCGATGCAGTAAAAACTACATATTTGGTCAAAACTGAATCTGACTTTTGGACATCTAAAGAATAATTATGGCTCAGGAATATACAATACAGTTAAAGGTAGCTGGTGAGATAGCCACCGCTAGACTTAGCAACATGTTCACTGTAATTAGGTTATCAGTTCTGACACTCGCATACATGAGGCAGTAAATAAACTGCTATAAATACTTGCTGGAGTGGAGTGTCTTTTGTCCAAATTAATTGGCAAACATTGATTATAATGCACAAAGAGAACCAGAAACCATCACAATAGTCCTTCAACTGTCCTCTCTCTCTCTACCGGTGCAGGCTGATAGAGTCCAGTCTGGGCAGCGTCGCCACCAAACTCAACTTCTTCATCCACAACCTGGCCCAGATGAAGTTCGCCTCCTCCGAGGATCGGCCCACGCTGTCCTTCGCTCCCAGAGTCCACACGGCGAAGAGCGACGGCCTCATCAGGAACCTCTACATCTGCCGACACATCAGGGCCGCCAGCGCCGGCAAGGCATACGTGAGTCACAGGGCGGCTTATCATATTTATAAATTTTATATATAGTTTATATATTATATAAATTATATATAATATTTTTATATATATAATACATTATAGTAGTAGCTAGAGATTAAAAACCGTAAAAGTTTTTAACGATTAAACAGGAACAGAACACGGTGCTAAACGTGAGAAAATAAGTTAAACATGTAAATGATAAGATAAGATAATCAAACAGTAAAATAATAATTATTTATATTAACAGTGAGAAGAGAAAAGAAAAGAACAAATCGATGAGCCTAAAGATTAGACATTATTGTCATAATAATATAATGATTTATTGATGAGTTTTGTGATATTTGTTGTTAAGATGTTGAAACAACGGCTACATTTGAAGAAGATGAGGGTCCTCACAGGTATAAAAGGTGTGTGTGTGTGTGTGTGTGTGTGTGTGTGTGTGTGTGT